ACAGCAGTATTCTTCTGAGAAAACTTGAGCACTATGGAGTTCGGGGGTTGGCTTTATCTTGGTTTCACTCATATCTAACCGATAGAGAGCAATACGTGAGCGTCAACAACTGCAAGTCCTCTCACCTCAAACTTAACTACGGAGTACCACAGGGCTCCATTCTCGGACCAATTCTGTTCATAATCTACATCAACGACCTTCCTCAGATTAGTAATTTAGCTAAACATATTTATTTCGCTGACGACGCAAACCTAATAATAAGTACAAATACATTTGAACAACTTAATGCATTGGTGAATGAGATTCTGACTTTGATAATTGATTGGGCTACTAATAACGGGCTTAAATTAAATGCTAGCAAAACTAAATATATGATCTTTACAAATAAAAAAACTAAGGATATAGAAATCTACATGGGAGGTGAGCGACTAAAGCAAAGTTATCACGAAAAGTTTCTTGGCGTGATCATTGATACTAAGCTAAATTGGGCCCACCATATTAGACATTTAGCCACTAAAGTATCTAGAAATGCGGGTATTCTCTACAAACTCAAAGGCTCAGTACCTAACAAAGCACTCAAGTTGATATACAACAGCTTTGTTCAGTCTCACTTGTACTACTGCTGCACAGTTTGGGGAACAAGATCGCTAAACTCCGTTAAAAGAGTCTTCTCGGCCCAGAAAAAGGGCATTCGCGCTGCAGATAACCAATACCACCGCTATTTTTATGACAAAGATCTGAATAGCACACCTTCACACACAAAGGAAATTTTCAATAAACTAGAAGTATTAGCTTTACCGAACGTGATAGCTAAATGTATATTATGCTTAATGCACAAAGTTTATTCTAACACTGCACCACCAAATATTATAAGAATGTTCACTGTTTCAAACTTAAACGCACCTAGAAGAGAACCTGAGTTCTTTGCAGTACCATTTAACCGTTTATGTAATTCAGACAAGAGCATTTCTTACATTGGGCCTAAGTTATATAACCAAACAGTCAACATTATTAACAAGGACATAAAATATGTCACCACTTGCCTACAAGACAAATTCCTAAATTCATTCAAGTCTACAGTCAACAAGCATGTGCTTACTGCACAAGCACATAAACCGGATGACAAGGACTGGGACAACTCAAATTTCGTACTTTTAGAAATTTAAATAATTTGGTACAACATACGTTGATCATAATAACGAGCAACAAAACTTTAACCTCATAACAAAATATGACTATCTTCGAGTATTTTTTACAATGCTATCGACACCGCGCAATTTCACTGTCATTTACAACTTTTAAAAGATAAAAATATCACCGCGCATTCTTCAGACCCTGTGTCGCTGTTCTAAATTTATGTCAAGAGATAAGAGTTATTTAAAATTCTTAATAGTACTATTTAAATTTGCTAATAGCATAATCATATTTTATACATTATTAATACTTTATACATTGTGTGCATATATTTATATTTGATTGTAATTAAAGATTTTAAGGCGTTAGTGCCGAGTAATGCCTTCGGGTAGTGCTCCTCAATCAATCAATCAATCAGACTTTGATTTTCGGACATAGGTGTATTCATACTGCAATTCTATCTCGAATATGTCAGATAGCGGCTTTCATCTAAAATTTCTGCAAATTTGAGGCCTTAAGCTGCTAAAAAATGCTAAGTTTAAGATTCGTTCATTCGTTTATTACGTACATCACCCTCATACATTTGTGACTTACATTACAGACATTTGTGACTTACATTACTTTATCTCCTGAAACCAAGATAAAAATTCATTTTCGTGTGATATTAACTTGGAATACAAAATTTTTTTGATTCTACATGCTCATTTGGTAATAACATAACACATAAATGTAATAATCCCCAATAACTTGAAATCATATTTTAATAATATCGACGAAATACATTATTGCCTTTAACTCAAAAAATAAAGGTTCTAGGCATATAGTTGATTGATAAGTTGAATATAAACTTGGCTATTCCGGTTCTTTTAAGCTATAACACAGTTCTCTAAGTGGTATGGTTCTCTAGATATGAATTTAATTGAACAGTAAACGCGACCGCGACAGAGTGGTTACCATGGAAACGAAAAATACCACGATATAAGGTTGGAGTTGAACTCTAAATTTTTTTTCCAAACTCACAATGACCTAATGCAACTTTTTTGAAGGTGCATCAATTATTGGACCATGTTTGTGTTTTTTGATACAGCCTAATCGACAATCTTAGACAGCAACACAACACAGCAAAGACAGTTCACAAATAGGAAGTTTTTTCAACTTCCTAGTTCGCGTTCTTTTACAGGTGAATTTGTATGAAACAGAACAGTCGAACTACATTAAGTCTGAACTGTATTGTTGCTCAGCAGGGATTTTAAGGTGTCGTTTTGGTATGTGTGACATACATTACATTGTGACTTACATTACACTGTGACTTACACTACTACTTTATACACTTAATTACAGGCACATTTAACCCACTAGCAATCATGCAGTAATTGATCTATCGTCCTTGAAGGTAGTAGAGATAGGTCTGAGAATTCGATTGTGGCTAGATTCGATTATTTGTCGGGAAAAAAACTTTTGTGGCAATATTGTGACTTACATTACATACTTTTGAAGGTAGATTTTTTTCTATGAAGTAATACTTGTCACAAGTTTATCACTTGATTAATACTTATACACTAAAAGTACAAACCAAATTGTGGTAAATTTAAATCGATAGTATTATTCCTACTTGTCGAAGTAAGACTTGAGAAAAAGGTAAATAATTGGAGCAAAATTTACAGCAGACTTCAGCTGCACTTTTCATGAACTAAAATTTGCATTTAACGGTAAACCCTTATCGAGTCTGGCATTTGAGACCTTTTTAAACAACAAACGATTGTGAGGGCACACCATCGAGGTCATCAAGATTGGCATCCGATAGTGGAGGATTTAAGAGCTCAGTAAAGTGCTCCTTCCACCTTTCCTTCTGACTGTCCGGGTCTGTAATAAAATGACCATCCTTATCCCTAACTGACATACCCACTTTCTTCTTCTTTTTCCCAGAAATCTTCTTTATCTTATCCCAAACTTCTCTTTGCTGGCCTTTCTTAGAAGCCTCCTCTAGATCAGTCGCTATTTTAGTAGCCCAGTTGTTGTCGTCAATTTTACAGCTTTTCTTAACTAATTTATTAAGTTTAGAGTAGGCTGATCTATTGACGTTTGAAGTGGGATCCCTCCGTTTGAACATTCCCCGTTGCTCTATCAAGTTCTTAGAGGTTTGCGAAAGGTGTTGTTCTTTAACCTTCCGGGGACGCTTTCCAAGCACTTCCATCGAGACATCAGTGACTGTCTGCTTGAAATTATCCCACATGTCCTCAAGGTTGACCTCATTAGCCAGACAATCAAAACGGTTCTGAAGAGCCACGTTGTACTCTTGAACCTTAGACGAGTTTCGCAAATGTTCGATAGCAGGCACATCGTGCCTTTTAGCAGTGATCTTAGCTAACGACTGCAGTTTGATTTGCAGCCGTCCACGAACAAGATAGTGATCTGAACCAATGTCCGCCCCACGACATACCTTAACATCGAGTAGCGAGTGTTGGAATCGTCCACTAATACAAATATGATCTATTTGATTCACAGTTAACCCGTTGGGAGACCGCCATGTACCCTTGTGGATGTCTCTATGCTGGAACAGAGTTCCACCAATAACAAGTTGATTGGCTGCACAGAAATCCATGAGCCTGGTCCCATTGTCGCTTGATGAACTATGGAGAGATTCTCCACCAATAACTCCCTCGAATCCATATCTGTTTGAAGTAACTTTTCCATTGAAGTCACCCAGTAGCAGTTTCAGATCATGTCGGGGCAGTTCACCAAACGTGTCTGATAAAACGTTGTAAAAACGATCTTTCTCTCCGTCATCAGCACCGTCAGTCGGAGCGTAGGCTACAACAACAGATATGTTGAGGTGTTTGCCGTGTAACCTAGCTGTTAAGACCCGCTCTGATGTAGGTACATAAGAGATCAGGGAGTTCCTGACCTTTTTGGAAAGACATAGGCCAACCCCTTGCCTTTTGATACCATCTCCCCTACCAGAATGAATAAGTAGACTACCATTGTCCAAAAGTGTACTTCCAGATCCTGGCATATGAGTTTCAGTAATACCCAAAATATCAAGACTGTAGTGATCAATGTTCTGACTGAGTTGATAAAGCTGTGAAGATGAGCTGACTAAAGATAAAACATTCCAGGTTCCAAAGTACATTGAGTGTTTGCTGTAGTTGATAGGATTGGACTTGCTGAAATCAGTGTCAACATGAGCGAATAGCGATCTGTTGACTAATTACTCTGTTGTTATGACGAGCAACCACTCTTCTCATCAGGCCACTGGGGTCCCTGAGGCTTTGCCCAGTTGCCGTCATCCTGGTCTCACCCGACCTCGCAGAGGTAAAAGCACACCGTCCTTGATTTGTGTGTAATGTTTCAGTAGCAAACTTTTAGAGAGGAGAAGTTGCCAGCATCTCGCACCCGGTTTTTTATCGACCTTTGCCTGTCTAGATCCATAGTGTTTTGTTGCACGTCATCTGTTTATACTGGAGTCACCCAGGACAGATTACAATGCTTAATAGTAGCACCTCGAAAAGGATGTGATTCTTCATCACGCACTATGGTCATTGGAATAGGAGAGGTTATTGGCTTCACCGCCTTCACGATCACTATTCCCTGAGATTATAAATAATCTCTTGCCACTTGAAATTTAGATCATATTAATTATTATATTGCAGTGTCAAGTACTACAACTACTCATTAAGTGGTCCTCAGTGTAATTGGTAGGGTTACACTCGAGAGGTGATACGGTGTAATTAATAAAGCAGTGATGATAAGAAATGTATAATTGGTAATATGAGATTGTAATAAGGGTTGTTTTGAGCGGGATTAACTGAGTTGACACTGTATAGTTAATTATCCAATTAGCTAATTAACTGTGACGTCATTACTAGGATCAGAGGAATTACACGGCTAAAGCGGGGCAGTTAGCTGGCTTGAAGATTAAGAGGATTATTAGTGAACCTACTGCTGCTGCCATGGCTTATGGGCTCCACAAGAAGGACGGTAAGTACAGAGCTTTATTTTTATCCCTAATATCTACATGTAATTTTAGTATGTACATCAAGTCTGTGTAATCATCCTTCTAAATAAGTCTAATTTGGGTAGATTTTGTTAAGACTAAAAACATTGGAAGCTTTGTTAAAGTCACTAAAATTAACTAAAAGTCACTAAAATAAGCTCTCACAGTTTACATTATTGTCTGAATTGTTGCAAGTTTTAAAACATCAGTACAAAGTATCAAGACTTGTTGTGTTATGAGATACGGGTTGTGTTACTGTAATTAAGTGTGAAATTCTTTACCTTACTTTGACAAGCCTTTACCCTGACAAAACAGGCACACAGTACAAGTGTACCTTAACACATCTCAATTTTACATAAAAAGCCTATATATATAGGCTTTTTATTAAAGCCTATATATAGGCTTTTTATTCAATGTTATATATAACATTGAATTATTGACAGTCTGATATTCAACATTGATATTATAAAGGCGATGAGTTCCATTACATTCCACAGCGGGCTGTGACTGAGCTGTAATAGTGTCAATTCTTAAGTTCTTTTTGTGAAATTTGGAGCGCAGAGCTGAACAGTGAACATGTGTACATTTCATTTGGGCTATATGGTATTTAAACTCCAGTCCAATAGGTGATCTGTATAGTGTACACATTAGCCCATTGGACTGGTTTAAAGAACTTAGCGTATTTAAAGATATAACATGTATATTGTATATAATATAACTAGCTCCAACCTGTCCTATTTGTCCTTGGGCCAAGAAGATTCAATTGTGCAGATAGATTGCTGTTAATATGAGTTAACTGTACATGTACATTATATTTAATTCACATATTGCTCTGTAAATCCGGTTAAATGGCTGGGTCCTATTTAACATCATAATTATATCTAGTAACTTTTATAATGTATATGATATGACATTGCTTCTGGCCTAGTAGTAGTTGTAAGAGCAGGGGCAGTTACGAAATTACAATCAGTTATTGTTATTTCCCTGTAAACATTCCCTTGAAAGACCGTAGAATCTCTCCATTTCAAGCTGCCAGTAGCATCCCATCTCCCAACCCCAGAGCAGGCTGGAGCACAGGGACCAATTTATGGGCCAAAATCTATCAAATTTGGTGCGTATGCTCAAATATGGGCTTATGGTTTTTGGCTCATAACTCAGTCATTTTTTGTCCAATCTGGATGATAATCCATATACGAGTTACCCCTAGGCCTAGTAACCACTAACCACTCCATTTCTTCAGACGCATCCTACATAATGGTAGTTGACATTGGTGGTGGAACATCAGATGTATCTATTCTCTTTACTAACGGACCTATGTTCGCTACTGTGGCTCTAGCAGGTAAATTATAGTTTCTAATATCTCCACATTAAAGCTATGTCATCATGCTCTCAATCACAATTCATCTGATCAACTCAGTGTTGTGACACTTATTGAATACTGAGTATTTCCTCGTTTGATCGTGAATTTCATATTATTTTTAGAATTAATTAGCAATCTTCATAAAATGTCAAGAAAAAAATCAACAAATCTATTAATTTGTTCATGTAAAATCAGTACAGCACGTATAACGCAGCCCACATACACATTACGCACAATAAACTGACAGTGTGTTATTGCAGGAAATAACAGGCTAGGAGGACAGGATTTCAATGAGGTACTGTACAACTATCTGCTTGACAGAGCACAGACAGACTTCAACGTGGACCAGGGTCATCTCACTGATTTCGACCATCAGGTGGGTTGGGTTTGATACAAATCAGTAAACGACCGGGATTCCCGGTACTGGTCAGGCCTGAAATCATGTCCCGGTCGTTTACTGGATACAATTAATATCAGATAGCCGGTATTATTTATCAATAAACAAGGGTTCCTGCCTCCAAACAGATTTGATTCGGCAAATCGTTCAGCTTAAATTCAACTTCTAATAAATTAGCAGTAATGAGTGCTACTATGGGCATTACAAGCGAGGAAACATGTTACACATAAACCGAACTGAAGAGACAAGACGCAATACATACACATTCGAAACACAATATTTAAAATGTAATGGAACATATTATTAAGATCATTTAACTACAGATATCAAGTACTAGTACCGTTATAAAATGGCCGAAATATGTTTGCTAATATTAGATTACTTGTCCTTTAGTGTCCGCTTTGGTCAGCTAATGCATAGTATAGTCCCAAAAAACGAAACTAATTTATGCTATTGACCCAAAAACCCTCAATTGATTGTAAAGTTTCTAAAAACAGTTATTATTCTCACTACCCACTCTCCAGCTCCTCAAGTAGCAGCTCCATCCTATGATTAGCAACAATATCACCCACTCCCACTCCTTTATGCCACACTGGAGAGCCTACATGAGAACATTCCGGTCCCAAATAACTCCCAAACAGTGACACAGGATCATTCCTCGTGAGATGAACTTCAAACTGGACCTCGTTGTACTTGTCTCCTGACAGGAGGTTATGTTCGGGGGTTTGAGTCCAGGGTCCGGGTGCGTTAAAAGAGGCTCCTGGCAGGCCCGTCTCACTACATACACACTCCGCTAACAGTCCTCCTAAGCTGTGCCCACAGATGAAATCTGGTCTGTGCTGTTGTGCGATGGACACAGCGGTGCTGATAGCGCGTTTTATAGGTAGTCCTAAGTACGGGACATTGGGTAGTCCCAGGGAAGCGTCCTGAAGTAGGGTGGTCACCGCACTTGCTTCATCGCTCACATCCGTCCCACGATAAGCCAATATTGTCTTCCCACTGTGTCTCCCCTCTACCACTTCATACACTCCATACTGTATATCGTTCAGCATATTCGTGTCCTGTAAGTTCTGGAACTGTTTGACTGTTACTCTCAGTTTCCCTTTACAGTCACCAGCTAGGGTGTAACTGTCCAGAGCGGCTAGTGCTAGTAGAAGTACTAGTTCTTTATCATTCAGCTTTTTTGAAGAGGGGAAATCTAGAGCTTGGATACCAATCCTTTGTACTGCGCCAACTGTGTCCTGTGCACGTTGCGCGCCTTGCACTACACATTGTGCCACTTGTGAGGCTGATCCTATGAAGTCTAATATTCCCATTGTGGGTACTTCTAATCTTGTTCAGTTTGCTAGGCCTACTCCACAGATCTTGTTTAGTTGCAAGAATATGTCTGATCTTGTTGGTTAGACTTGCTCCAAAGATTCGATCTGATAGAAACGAGATATTCTGTCCTCTCCGACTTCTTCATCAGACTAAAAATGGAGGAGTTTTAAATTTTCTAATTAATTGAATCATAACTGAGTAATAAATCAGTATAGTATCTAAACTCTACTTTCAAACGTTTGTTAAACTGCTCAGTTATTTCTGAATTAAAATAATATTTAGCAATCATTTTATCTCAGTAGCAATCATTTTATCAGTAGCAATCATTTTATCTCAGTAGCAATCATTTTATCTGCAGTAGCAATCATTTTATCTCAGTAGCAATCATTTTATCTCAGTAGCAATCATTTTATCTCAGTAGCAATCATTTTATCTCAGTAGCAATCATTTTATCTAGCTTATGCAACGGTTTAAATCGTCTCTTATCAGATGTTTTATCAATTTTAACACAGCACCGTGCTGTACAGCCCGTTTGTTGTACAATTGACAATGGAATTCAACGTAGCAGATCTACACACACAAGAGGAAGCTTTGCATTCATCAGTGGAAAAAGTTTTAAAAGCTGTCAATACTGCAAATACTGCGAAGAACGCTGTCAATATTGAAAAATTTGAGGAACTGAATCATGCAGCACTCATGAAATGTAACAAGGACACGATGGCAAAACTCATTGAGAACTTAACCAAATCACTGATCAGTAACATTGTTTTATGCAAATCTGCAGCCGGTACCATCGATTATGTTAAGTCAGAACTGATAAAAGTGCAGAGAGAGCAGCTAAAATCTGTGCAGGAGACTGTTCAAACTGAGATTAAAACGGAGATGAAGACATGGAGCGAAATTGCCAGGAAAAACTGCGACAATAAAGCTCCAACTTTGAAGACAGTGAAGAAAGCAGTACAGTCTGCTGTTCAAGACGACGCTCGGAGCAGGAACTTCATCGTCCACGGAGTTCCGGAGGATTACTCCACGTGCCCCGCTGATTTAGCAGATGAAGTACTGGACAAGATTTTGCAACACAATAACCACTCTGATATTGTAGCTGCTAATCGTATCGGTGTGAAGAAACGGGAGGATGGTAGGCCGAGGCCAATCAAAGTGACTATGAATAGTAACGAATCAGTGAAAGAGGCTCTCTCTCGAGAGCAAATCATTTGAAAAAGTCCCTCTGTACAACCTACCACAGCTGGTTCGTTGCTCCAGATAGAAACCGAGAGGAACAAGCAATACATAAAAAACTCGTAGCTCAATTAAAGGAGAAAATATCTGCTGAACCGTCGAAGTATCACTATATTAACGACGGAAAAGTTTTGAGTGTAGTGAATGCATATAAGAGATAATTAACTCAGATTAATCTGTTATCTTCTTTGTTGATTTGTGTGCAATTGGGCTGAGTTTAAGAGTTTAGAATAAAGTGCGTGATTTCGCTGAATTTCAAATTTGGTATAGCAACTCGAAGTGCAGACTTTTTGAGATCTGATGAAGTATGGCCAACGGGATTGTTACTCATATAATTTCCCGTGATGATTTTTGGACCATACATTGCTGAATAGCAATCGTGAAGGAAGTCTCACCAGTAGGTTTTATTTAACTAGGCTAAGTTTTCATACGCATATTCTATAGACTATACATTTACTTACTATGATTTATTAAAGGTTAATTTCTGCCCGATGGGAGTGAGATATTGTTTGGTGTGTGAATTTTTTGATTTTATAAGTTGACTTGAAATCCCTTAAGGGTACCGGCAAAAAAAAGCTGGTTTCACAACAACAACAATATTAAACTGTATAGATAGCTTAGTCTACTGCAGCGAGCCCATCGTCTTCCTTGTTTAATTATCCGCACAGAAAAGATATCCACTGGGTTGAATATTATACAACCACCACTACACTCACTCTACAGTGTAGAAGTGGTACTTATGTAGCAATAACTATACACAACGATCATATACTGTACAGTGTGTACACAGTGTGTACAAGAAAACGAGGAAAGCAAACGACAAACAATCACACAAAGCAGAAGAGACATAATTAGCAGCGAATGAGGGATTGTACAAATTAACAAATGAGTAGTCAACATGCTGTATTGAGGCACATTAAAATGTTATGAGGCACTTTCTGTAATGTTATTTTCAAGCGTTTACCTGACTGAGGACGTGTCTGAATGATTTTAAAATGAAAGAATTTGAAAAATGCAGTCTGTGTTTAATTTGACTGTGGGTTCGCTCGGTCGGAGAAAGCAAAAGTTTCTTCTGCTTTTTAAAAAAGAATTCACAGTTTATGTTACGTTATATGCCCGAATCTAAATATATTATAAAGCCTGCTTGGCATTTAGTTTAAGCATGTGATGCTTTCAGAAAATGTTTAAAAAAGCTGATGTTAAAGATAACATATTGTATTGTACTATAACTATATGTTATACACTGTTATATGTTATAGTACGGTTCGTATGTGCTTCAACTACATAAGCCTGTACTTCTGTATTACACTTTACTTTTAGCCTCTATTATATATGGTAGCAAGACCCCTAGCCTTTATCATGTCTTAGTGATAACAAAACTGTCAGGTTCCATTCTAAAATCTAAAGCTGTACAACATGTTAATTAATGAAGTTAAAATGTATTAATTTTAAGTAAAAAATAAAATGTTCAGTAATTTATACAAAATGTATAGGTAGCAATCAATGTAAGCTATGCAGTTGCAGTACGCATATGATATAATACAAGGCGAACCAGTAAGAACAGTCCACTCGGGCGCAGTGCAAAATTGTCATTTTAAAATGACAACTGGAGTTGAAAACACGCTGAAAATGTTGACATTATATATAATTACCATGATTACGTCATAATATCTTGTTCACTAAACCTCCCTCCCAGATACTACGAGAAACGTGCGAAGAAATAAAGTTAAAGCTAAGTGTAGATGAGGTTATGATTGTAGATATAACTTTACAGCAGGGTACAAGACCTGTAAACATTGTTATAACCGTGACAAGACAGATGTTTGAAGATATTAACAAACACTTGTTTGATAAGGTAATTACTTATCTTACTTTAACTGATTTGTTTTAAATTAACTTAATTTTATTCTGTTTGCAGTTACATTTTTGTAATAGTTTGTACGGCTTAAACAAGTTGTCAGACGAATCGTTATCTTAAAAAACCCTGAGGGATAGTTAATGTTAATCCTATCACATGACCAGTTGATGTCAAATCATGTAAAAAACAGCCTTGTACATACCAATTCCTTTACGTTTTACAACTAACCCAAACATTTCTGTGTTTCAGGTATTGGAACCTATAAAAGCTACGCTAGAGTACGCTGAACTACGCACATCAGATATTAGTGATATTGTATTAGTTGGTGGAAGCACTAGGATACCTAGGATCCGGGAACTTATTACTAAATATTTCGATGGAAAGGTATTTCAAATATTTTATTCTGGTATTTATTTTCCTTGTTCAATGATTCGATTTAAAGTTGATCGCGAAGTGCTGCTACGTGTCTTGGAATCTTCATTATTCATATATATGTAGATATATTACGTTAATTCCTCTTTCATATTATATTCTGTAAACATAAAGAAGAGTGAATTTTTAACAACTTGTAAGCATGGATCTCATGAGTGGCTGCACGTCACTGCATCTCATGTTAGAGGACTAACAACAGCATCTCATGTTAGAGGACTAACAACAGCATCTCATGTTAGAGGACTAACAACAGCATCTCCTAACGTACTTCCCCCAGGAGTTGAACACCTCGATAGACCCAGAGTTAGCTGTATGTACAGGAGTAGCGCTCCAGGCTGGAATTGAGAGTCACTCCTGGCCCCTTCAAGTAGCTGCATTAGAGGTTAACTCTGGAGTTAAGAAGATCAGTCTGCAGTAGCTAATATATTCAGTTTTAGTGAGACTCAGATATGTTTTTATTTGTTAGGTTTTAATTTTAATAGTGAAGGCTGGTCCGATTTGTGTTTTTGTTACCTTAGTTTGTGGCTAGATTTATTTATTTAATTAGTTGTTTATATTAACAGATTAGTTTCTTCTGTAGCCAGTCCGTAGTCGGCAGATGCGCGCACCATCAATTGATAATTAGTTAGGGTATTTATCAATTGATAAATAGTTAGGATTGCTGTTTGTGTTTTTAAGGGGTCTTTAAATATTGATTTTAAGTTATTCATTACTCTGCCTCTAAATCTTCGTGTTTCCAACTTAACTTAATCCAAATTAATGGTTAATTTGATGTAGCAATATTGTTAAGATAATGGATAATTACGATTAAACTAATTATAATTTAATGAAGTTACAGTGTGTGTAATTGTTCAGTGATTTCCATTTTAATTGTATTATATTATTCGACAGAACTTCAAACTAATGCTGTGTCTTCATTTTACTCACAAGTTACAAAATTCAAATCCATGGATATTGGATAATCATACGTAGCCTACGTTAAATCTATATTTGGCAATTGTTACGTAAGTACCAGTTACCTTGTGGAAGGCGCGAGCAAAATATCTATGGTTAGGCTGACGCGCACGCACGAGTTTTTCAATTAATTTGACCGCGCGGCCAACCGGTCCCCCGGTCTAATTAAAGGGTGATTTCTGAGCCGCTGTCACGTGTCAGAACATACTCTCGTCTCTCGCCGAGATTGCGCTAATACCAGCGTCGGGATTAAAATGAATAGAAATACCATTGATTGTAAGGTTCGTAACTTCCAAGTCCGCTTGATCGAGCTGTACTCGTTTCGTTGACGAAGTGATTATTCCAATATGGCAAATTTGTAAATTTTAGATTGAACCGGAAATCGAACCACCAATCTTCCGCTTCCGGATATTTATGAATAATTCCGAAAACCGGAAATTCTTTCAAATAGCATTCAAAATCTTGGTTGACTTATATGGGCCTAAAACTAAAGAACTTCTTAACAAAATATTTCTCTTGAAATGTCTCAGACATTAGGCTGATATCAGACCCGAGGGTCGTTACAGAGGTGGAAGCCTCTAGCCAATCCTCACGGACAATATAACTAAAATTTTTGAGTATTTTAATATCACCGAAGAACACTGGCGGCCATGCTGCTGTCAAACACATTATAGGGTGGTATCACCTTAATAACACCAGAATGTGTGTCTGTCTGATCGTCTGTGTGTCCGTGTGTAATTTCCGGTCGGTTATACAAAAAAAACGGTAAGAGTTACGGGACTGATTTTTTCGGTATAGTGCCGACAAAACTCTGACGAAGCCAATAAGCAAATTTTATAAAAATCGGCCGGTGGTAAGTGGCTTAATTGATAGTTTTGTACTATTAATGCAACATTATGGAGTGAGCCACTAAAATGGCTCACTTTTTCTTCCTATTCGCCTCTTTGTAGCGTTGGTAATTAGGTTAGCTCCTCAAGTGATATTAGGAGTGTACTTGGGCACTGATTGTGGTCTGTTTAAACTGTAGAGAGAGTTCATACTTTCATACGACAATGTTTATGCATATCAGGGGGGGGGGGGAGGCACATATTGCGGTCAGTTTGTTTACTTTCATACGACAATGTAATACATGTTTTCAAATATAAGGCGGGTGTGGTGCGGAGTTAATAAGGGTTAATTTCTAAAACGATTTAAAGCGGTTTAAGACGGGAGTGATGAGGTGTAATAGTCGTGGTACAGATACTATTGGATACGTGAGGGAACTCCGAATGGAATTGCTCACTTAATGCGGGTTTTGACTCAGCGGGTAATTACTCCTTCCCCTTTTTAACTGCGGCAGTGAAATCCCGGCCAAAGGCCGGGTTACACTAGTAATTAATATAGTGTTCTTAGAGGCTGGACATGGAGGGACTAGAATTGGCTCCGGAACCGATAAAAATCTCATATGCTATGAGACCAAGACCAAAAATATTTGTGAATAACTAACATATTATGTGATATGTGAATAACTAACATATTATGTGATATGGGGTTTAATACTGGTATTAAATGCCGTCACGTGACACGTGTCCAAACATACTTGCATTATTACTAAGGTCTCTGAACCAGTTGAAAGGTTTTTGAAAATAGCCGTCGATTACTAAGCGTGTAGTCCATAAGAGTTACAAACAACTCACAACTAATACAGTAATACACTCTCAAATTTGTTATTAATTCAATGAAAAATCGATCATTTGCAAAATATCATCATGTTAAAATTGTAGGTTTCTTCCGAAATCGAACCACCAGTCTTTCGTTTCGGTTGAATATAAATATTTCCGATAATTGGAAGTTCTTAAATTAGTGAAAGAAAGGATGTTAATCAGATTTACACCAACCATAAAATTAAGATCATCGCAGCAAAATATTTCACTAGAAATGTCTCAGACATTCGGCTGATATCAGACCCGAAGGTCGTTACAGAGGTGGAAGCCTCTTGCCAATCCTCACGGACGATGTGTAGGGATTTTGGACCTTGCAATTATGTAAATGTTATCAGACGTCTAACTGCGGAGTTACATGGCGGAGTGGTTACTAATGTATATTTGATTACTCGGTTGTTTCAATATGAATAATGTAGTAGTGCTTGAGTTTGATAAAGTGTATTTTTTTTGTTTTATATTTATCAGATTTAGTATTTCATCGATTCTAATATATAAAGAATTAATATGATTTACCTCAGCTCCTTGTATTCAGAGGGACATGAGTGAATGGAAAAAGCGAGTAACTAATCTCATTTCTGGTGTCGTAAGGAATAAACAATCATTTAAGTTCATTTTATGTCTTCATGTTAATAATAAACTCCAAACTACTCAAAAGATTTCAATAATGAAACCAAATAAACTTGTTAAATGTTAAAACTTAATATTCATTAAGAATAAAAAAGAGAAACAGAAATAAAAGTTGTAACTTTAAAGTAAACTCGAAAAACCCAACAATATTTATTAAAGCAATGTTTGGCTGATTTTATAGGATAGTCAAACTTAAACGGTAACGATCACATTCACGTGACTTAAAAATTACAAACGTTTCATGTAAATCCGACATCAGCAGCTCACTGCTCAGTCAGTTATTTGTTGATTATTATTCATAACCGAGAGTTCAAGTAAATCTAAAATTCGTTCCCCGGTATCAAACTCAGCTTCAACGTTCACAGTACCATTTCCATCACGCGTATTTCGTAAGCAGGTCAATATGGCATACATTATGAAAAGTATGGCGAAGAGTAGAAATGTCCCTGGTACTAATACTATCCATGAAACCGACACATCGAATTTTACGGGAGTATCTGAGGGTATCTTTATAAGTAATATTAAATATTTGGAAATTGAACAGCGGTGCTTGGTGACTCTTTTTACTTTTTCTAAGACAGCGATCTTACGATTTATTTAACTAATGTAATGTCAAAAAGGCTAACATGCTCGTACAATATTGTAATCAATTAGTAACATATAATTATTTATGCCAACTGTTTCATGTTTACTTTTAGAAAGTTTCACTAACCATTACTACAAAATGGTTCTATGAAATATAAAAATGTCCTATATTTGTTGCACGTCACTTCCTGATCTCCATGGTGTTGAAATCCCTCCGTGCAGCCCACTACCAGGACAGTTCCAGCTTCAACAGGAAACTCTTTGTCTGCTATCATGTTCGTCCACGTGGCCTTAAAACCATTGCATTCCACTAAGAAGAAATAGGGCATGATCAAAACAGGTTATAATTTGTTTGCACTTGCTAGGTACTACAACTGCAAGCTTGTCTCTAGTGCAATATTTTATGAGGATGGAACACGGCGTGATACAAGAATGCTCCAATTAAACCGCTAAAGGAGCACATCGGTGCTAAATCATATTGTCTAATTCGTTTGAGAGGGTCAGAAACACAATATTTTCATTATTTTTGGAATATTTTGAGGGATACTAACCGAGATCATAGAAAGTGACGACCAGATCTTGAAAGGGGGACTGCTCTGAGTTTGGGAATTCCGTGGACTGAGCTGCACACTTCCATGTCACGGGAAATTCTGTATTTAGATCTTTGAGCGCTTTAGTTGTGATACTTAAAGTTGATTCTTGAACTTTGTTTTCGCCAACAGACCCCTGCGTGATATTGTATCCATCTTCACCGTCTTCAATTGGTGCATCATTCTCATCCTTCCATGATACATGGACAGCTTTATTGAGTGTTGCGTCACCGATATTGCAAGTCAACGTCAGGGCTGAATCTCTGGTTGCTCTCATATTGACTGGACTGATAGCTGAATTTTTATAATGGTCGAATTTAGATAAAAGAAGTTTATATGACTTCTCTTAAAACAAATATCTAAAGTCTACCTTTCTTGGCGATAAGTTATTATCCAAAATGATTACGCAATGGCAGCTCAGGGATATCTAAACGTGCTTTTTCGAAATTATTGGCATACTCACTAAAGACGTTTGATTTCACTTCAGTATCTTGCCGTGTGAGTTTGCCGTCCGCATGCTCTAGGTTAAGTAGCACAATGCAAGTATAGAAAGCATCAACCGTGTTTTTACTAGCAGGAATGGTTAGAACCGTAGTCCGACTGTTTGAATCGTGTTCGTAAACACTTTCCACTATCTTATAATTGTTTTCACCTTTACCGGCAGTTATCACATTTCCCGAAATAGGCCTTTTCCAAGTAACATGCAATGCATTCTTTCTGTGTTCACTGATGAGAAATACGTAAGGTAAGCAATAAGCATTTCTAAAATCCCTGTAAAACTTAGATACGTATTTATCAAGCTTGTATTACAAAAACCAGTGTTTGTAAAATGTTTTTTTGGCTGGGTCTGTATCTTATGTAGTTTAAATTTGGTATCTTACGGAGTTCTCCTTTTCGAAATTCCCGTCCTTTTTGACCATATTGTCCGATCACCAGCAACTTTACAAGATATTTTTGCCTCTTCACCTCTCAACACTTCGCTATCATGTCCCTCTACTGCTTGTAATGAATTTGCCGCTGAAAATTATAAGAAGAAAGTGGTAAATGTTTGATTGTTTATCATTCTCAGTTTAGGCAAATGGGTAACGAAAATCGACATGGTTTCAAATACAAAACAGGAATGATAAAACTAAAAGATAATAATTCTATTTTATTTTTAGCGAAAATAATCGTACCTGCGATAGTCTAGACATATGGGAACAGCTACTACTAATTTTACTAGAACCGGTTTAAAATATATGGTCTATAATCCTCTTCATAAACTAATTATAATATTCCTATTATTTTATTTTGGTTGTTACCCTGTCTGTAATAATCTGAGGCTGTGTCGAAGGAGTGGAAGAATATCTCCGGTACTACAATGTTCCAACTCTTTCTCCAATGGGAGTATTCACATCTAAAGTCAGACAGCACAATATCAAGAACCTCCTCATCATTACAGTGC